TAGTACAGTGTAAGGGCTGAATACATACTTGTCATGAATGAAGGAAGCACATGTTCGCCTATCTCGAAGTCACCTGAAAATAGACCACACCTTCTATATCTTTGTTTGTCCTTATCCCCCTGCCACATCTCAGCTGTATTTTGCACGTGTATGTTCGCTGAATGCTTATGGAATGAAGAGGCAGAAAGAAAAAGACAGGGGTCGCAGAAATGGGTAAGGAAGGAAGGCCAGGAGGGGAAATGAAGAGTGGTAAGAAAACTAGCTTTCTGAAGCAAACAGAGCTTGTAGACGAATTGGAGATAGTGCAATTGCATAGATCCCGAGAGGGATCAGGCAGGTAAATGGAAATTAGGGACATTGGCTGGAGAAGGCCATCTCGTGATGGAGACACAAGCACTCGGAGTCAGGTCTCCCCATGTGCTGCCGCCGTCCAGGCAGGGAGGGGGCCGAGGGTTGAGGGTTGCCAGAGCTTATGATTTTCAAGACAAGATGAAAATCTGGATTTTATATGAACTTCTTTATTTTTGTAAACTGTTGGCAAGTATTTCAAATTAAAGGAAAAATAAACACTCTGTGGGTTAGACCTAGTGTGAATGTGGCGAGATGAGGTCCCAAGCTTAAAGGTCAGGCCAGCTTTTCAGTCACCTTGAATGTCTGTTGTGAGGACTTTTGGAGGTTATTCAATACTTACCATGCGAAATTATATGTAAACTCATGGCTCAGTCTTTGGGGGTAATAGAACTGTCACACCAGGGGTTAGGCTTGTTCATTCTTCTATGGTATACAAACATTGCTTATTGAATTTCCCTATGGTTTCCCGAAGGAGTTGATTTGCAGCCTTAAAATGAGCACATCATTTCTCTCACTTATCATGCTCAGCCCTGGGCCAGAATCAAATGAATCATAGCTGCTCCCTTCAGAAACAGGGAAGTGGCAAAACCAACCAGGTGACCTAATTGTGCAAAGCATTAAAGACCTAACTGTCCAATTTTGGGAGTATGTTCTAGAAGATTTGGGACAGTAAGAAGAGTGGGAATAACTTGGCAAGGCTTTAGGGAGAATGGATAGAAGTAGGGGCGGATGCCTGAAATTAAGGAGGACAAAGAATAAAATCCAGGTAATGGGAGACATTTCATCCTTTTGTCTTCCATTTGATTAGGTGCGTATGGTTTGAGCACCTACTGTGGGCTCAGTACCACGCTGGCCATTGGGGTCAAAGAACAGACATGCCCTATGATGAAGATGGACCTGGGCTTCCAGCAGTGAAATGCGTAAGAATCTTGTCCCTATCACTTACTAGTTGTATGACCTTGAAGAAGTTTCATAGCATCTTGAAGCCCCAGTCTCCGTATCTGTAAAATGGTTTATTGTGAGATCAGTAAAGAATATTTGTATAAACCACTCAGCATGGTGCCTCCCACACAGTAAAGACTTAATAAATGATAGCAATTAGCACATTTACATGTAAATTCTCCAGTGGAAGAACACAGAAGACACACAGTGTTGACCCAAACGGGGACATTATTTTCTAACTCTTGCTTTTATTTACAGCAGTCCTCCCCACCCCCTTCTCCATGGTTTTGCTTCCTGCAGCTTCAATTACCAGTGGTCAGCTGTGACCTGGAAGCAGATGCCCCTCCTTCTGATGAAATGGTCCGAACGTCAAAGGCAGGCCAGCACTACGTCACATGCCCATGTCATTCACCCCCTTTCCTCTCAACACATGGGCACTTTATCAACTCACATCATCACAAGAAGGGTGAGTACAGTACAGTTAGATATTCTGAGAGAGGGAGACCATAGACACATGACTTTTATTCTGAGAGAGGGAGACCATAGTCACATGACTTTCATTACAGTGTGTTGTTCTAATTGTTCTATTTTATTATTAGTTATTTATTATTATTATTATTATTATTAGTTTATTATTAGTTATTGTTCATCTCTTACTGTGCCTAGTTGATGAATTAAACTTTATTAGAGATATGCATGTGTAGGAAAAAACATAGTATATGTAGCGTTGAGTGCTAATGGTGGTTTCAGGCATGCCCTGGGGGTCTTGGAACGTACCCCCTCAGATAAGGGGGAACTGCTGTATTTCCTTCATAGCACACACTACAGTTTGAAATTATGTTCCCAAAGTCTTTTTAGTTCTCCTACGCTGTCTCCCCTCTTACCCTCAGTGGAGCGCAAGGGGCAGGAAGGTGGGGAGCATGTCTGCTATCCACCTTGACTTCCCAAAGTTTCCTAGCATCCAAGCATATAATAGGAAGAATAACATTTTTTGAGAATTATACACGTGTTGCATTATCTAATACATTGTAGTGCATTATCTTGTCTAATCCTTTGCAACGATCTTATGGATCGTCACTCTCTCTGTCTCCAGTTTAAAAATGGGGTGACAGGCTCACAGAGGGATGGAGTCACTTGCTCAAGTTCTCACTGCACAGAGAAGGGGTGCAACCAGGGTTGCAAAATGCTCTGGCCAGGGCTGTGGCCCACGCTCCCTTCCGCTGGGAATGGAATATCTACGGAATAAATGAATTAATGAAGGAATAATGAAAAGATCCAGAGGAGGGGAGACAATTTAGTTAGACGGAAAGATGAGTAGGAGTATGCTGGGAAACAAGGGATAAAAGTACAACTGTGTGCATGCATGAAACAAGATTGTAACTTTAGGAAGACCAAGTATAACAAACAAATAAATGCTGTGTGTGTGAGATAGAGACAGAGAGACAGAGAGAGAGCGCGCATGCACACAGGTGTTAAGGAGCTCTGTGTGCCATGCTAGGGAGCATGGATGTTTTCTTACTGGGGGCAGGGAAACACTGAAGAAAAGATGTGGGGCAAAATCAGCTTTTCTTTTCTGCAGTCAACATTCTGATTATAATAAGGACGAAGCACAAGAATTGTGGATCTGAGCAGGGAGACCAGTTTGGAGACTCTTGAAGTAATAGAGATGAAAAACTATGTGGCCCAAGCATGATAAACTTCCAGATATTTCTGAATTTGGAGTCTTTAGGTATTAACAGGAAGCGGTATTTCCAATTATAACTTGGAATGGTCTGCAAGAATTAATGAGAGTAAAATTTTACCTTATTAGAAAGGAGTTCCCTAAATGGATTTTTGAGCTTTTCCTTTTTTTGATCAATATTAGGCTGTACATGCCTGCTAGGTGTGACTTTGCTGCTTCTTCCAAAAACTAGCCACGTAAACATAAACTCAGGCAGGCACTAAACTCTTAGAACGTCTTTAGTCTGGGAATCTAAACACAATGAGCCGTTAGATTTTGCAGTGGCCATCATTCCAAAACATAAATCAAGTCAAATTTGTTTGAAATCCTGTCTTTAGAAGGTTGTGTGTTTTGACAAACCTTGCAGCAAATTTAGTCCAGCTTTTGGGTTTGTAATGAAACCTGAAACCAAGCATGCTGGCCTGCCCTGGGGTCTTCTCAGACAAGTTCCAAGTAGCCTTAGTGTAATGTCTCCCCTAATCTCATCCTGGCAAGAGACATTACTGTGTTGGGTTGCACTGGAAGTTTGGGGTGGACTCTGCAAACATTTCATACAATCATGGAAAGGGACTGATCAAGACAGCAGTTTGGGGGTATTTCTACTCCTGAGTATTCTTAAGAGTGTAAATTACAGAATTAGCAATACCTTATCCTCTGTTGGCTAGTGACTTGGAGATACCCCAAGCCATGATTGGGGCAGAAAGTTAATTAATCTGCTTATTAAAAAGAAGAAATGTCTCATTTGCATGCATTTACATTCAGGTCTTGCATGCGTCACCCTTTTTGGTGGTTTCTGTTTCTTTTCTTAATACCACAGACCTAGCTAGGTATTAGCTCAATACATTTACATTTTCTGTGTCTGGGCTTTGTTTAAGGGTATATGTCTGGTTATCATTGGTTCCAGTGGAATTTGATTGTCATATAGATCATTTAATTCTTGGTAGAGATCCTTACCCCTCCCTGAGCTGTGCGGATTTTCGTCCAGGTATCATATACCTCAGTTGCGAAAAGATTTATGTTCTTGACCAATCTTGGAAAATAAAGACCTTGCCTCCATCAGAGTTGGACATGTTATTTGGGGATGAGCCATTCAATTATCTGCAATTTCCTACTCAACTGAATTTTCCATGGTCATTTTTGTGGGAGTTTTCTCCTTCTTGCTTTTCCTATCTTATTTGGAGGTTGGCTTTGGGAGTAGTTTTTTTTTTTTTTTTCTTTTCAAGAAAGGAAAAAAACCAAAAAAACCAACCCATTGCTCCATGAATGTATCTTAGGCATTCCACATTCCGAATGATTGTTTTTACCTGAAAATGCTTCCGTAACCTGAACCCAGGCCCCCTTAAACCTGCTTGAGTGAAGCCTTGGGAGAGGAGGGAGGGGCTGGGAAGAGGGTTGATTGTGGGGGAGGGGGGGTGAGGAGGGGGTGAAATGTAAAACCTGTAACAAGCCCTTGGAACAACAGCAAGTAAAACCAAAACTATATAGGGAAATTAGTGCAGAGGGAAATCTTGGCATGGGAGTGAATCACCAGCTCTAATATCTGGGACCCCGGTGCGGTGTTTCTGTATTTTGTAGTAATCACATTTCTGATAAATTACAACAGCGTGGCTATCAGGGGTGAGTGGCTCAGGCAGCGGTTAAACCACCTATATGCTAACAAGCTTAGCAATCAGGTTGTGAAGGGTCCTGGCTGGAGGAAAAAAATTAAAACCAAACCTTAGACTTCTGTCAGACTGTGAGGAGAATTATATTTTTGAACTAGTCTACAGTGTGGACAGGAAATGACCTCTCCACAAACTGCTTCTTTAAAAACAAGCAGTGGTGCCTAAAGCTATCCAGCTTCTCTCTCTCTCTCACTCTCATTCTCTCCCTCCCTCCCTCCTTGCCTCCCTTCCTCCCTACCAACCTCCCTTCCTCTCTGAAGCTCCTGCTCTCTCCCTCTCCCTCCTCTCCCGTGCTCCCTCCCTCCCTCCTTCCCTCCCTCCCTCCCTCCTCTCTCGCTCTCCCTCTCCTCTCCTGCTATAGAGGGCTCCAACAGCAGTTCCCAGCCAGTGTGTTCAGCCTGCCTGCCTGCCTGCCTCTGTGTGTGTGTGTGTGTGTGTGTGAGCGTGTGCGTGCGTCTACTTTGTACTGTGAGGAACACAGCCCATGTGCTCTGCATGGACGTTACTGATACTCTGTTTAGCTTGATTTTCGACAAGCAGGCAAGATGTCCAGCACACCACATGACCCCTTCTATTCTTCTCCTTTCGGCCCATTTTATAGGAGACATACACCATACATGGTGCAGCCAGAGTACCGAATCTATGAGATGAACAAGAGACTGCAGTCTCGCACAGAGGTAAGTACTTCAACCTTGGGTGTGTGTTTGTGTCTTTTTTTTTTTTTTTTTTTAAACTGCATGGGCTTTTCCTGGGTTGCTGGCTGAATTCTGTGGGAAGTGTCCCACTAGATACTACCACGTACGTGGAAATGAGCGCCAGGATGAATCCACTAGTTTGAACGCTGGGTTTCCACGCACAGCAACTCTTGGAGCTGGGGACAGTTTCTGCCGGAATCTTGAAATAGACAACCCAGCACTTGATTCGCCTGCCGGGTCTCCAGAAATGCTGTTCTTCCCGAACTCCGGGGCTTGCAGGCTCTGAGTCGGTCCCGTTGGTGTTTCGTGAGATATAATTCCCAGGGATTTGGGGGATCATTTGCATCTGGCAAAATAAATTTTTAACAAATCCCCAGAGGAAGTCTGCTTTGACCTGTATTTGCTTTTCAAAGTCATCAAAATCGAGGTGGAGGGGGCAGAAGGGTAACCCCCTACACTTTTCAGAACTAACCCTGGAGGGATACATTGTTTGTATATTTCCGTGTTAAATTCAGAAACCAGTTGCTTGGGGCAAGGGGGTTCTCGACTTTCTCTTATCGCTGATGGGAGTGTCTCGCTAAGAGCTCTACCTTCCACCGGGAGCTGGCTCTGCATTCAAGTCAGCTCGAGTTTTGCATATTTGTAATCTTGTGCCTGAGAGAGGGAGTGAGCCTCTGCCTTCTCGGCCAGCAACTCTGGGAGCAGAGAGGACTTTCAGAACTTTGTAAATGCAAAACTCCAGACTGCCTCCTGCAATTTAAATATTTAATGCCAGTTGACTTTTTCTCTGTGTGCTAGCTAGGCTGGCAGGTCCTGCTGCTGGGCCGTCCATTTGCCTGTGAGTTGGAGCTTTGTGTTGAAGTGTTCTGAGGAGTTTGTTATAGGTGCACCAAAGTCACTTTAAGAAGTAGAAATCGCTGGGACTCCCGTCTTCTCTGCCCGAGTGCAAATACCCAGAGGGTTGATGGCAAAGAGCTTTAAGGGAATAGCTTTGGTGGAATTTTAGATTGAAGATTGACTCTCAGCTCTGGAAGGGGACTCACTTAATGTTGTATGATAAAATAAAACACACTTGCTTAAATTGTCAACAGAGCATGGAGAATTCATGACGCTTAATGTATTTAATGCAGCTAACAAGATGTGACCTGCTTTCTGATTGGCTAACTGCTGGACAAGGACTGATTTTTTTTTTTCCTAAAAAAAACAAACAAACAAAACTGGGTTGTCTTTAGCACTATTTTCTTTATATGTTAATACATCATAGAAGTTAAATATAATTGATACTGTTGCTCTCCCCAGAAGCCAGTAGCTTTTACAGAAGTGTAAACCCTGTTTTGCTTAGGGTGGTGACCTGTGGGCAGTAAATTATATTCCTGTGTGTTGTTTTGTGTGTGTTACAGTTTGTATATTTCGTTCAGTTTTTTTGGAACTATCTGCGGGACTCTGAAATTCTTGCAGAAATTGTTGGTTGTCATAGCCTGCTTATCAGAATTAGGGGGATAGAAAATGTCTTGTAGTTCAACACACATTCATTGCAATACAAATTTGGGGTTAAAAAAGGTCTTAAAAATATACTTGGTTGAAAACAAGAGAACAAGGGCCATTAGGGCTCAGTTCCTGAACAGCAACAGGATTTAAAAATAACCTGCGTCCGGCTTATGTTTTAGAAAGTTTCTGAGAAGTTGTGGCATGAGGTTTCTCTGCCATCCTCCTTGGTTAGGAGAACAGGCAGATTTCCCTCATATCTATGTTCCCCTGTGCTCCTAAATTATCACTTGGCCAGTTCAGAGCTAGATGATCTGGGGCACTTCCCTGTCCTGGCCCTCACGGAAATCTGCAGATGCAGAAAGGTCCCACATTTGTTTCCCATTTGAAAGAAAACCTTTGAAAAGTCCCCCTTTCGTAGTATGTTTCCTAAAAAAAGTCACATTATCTTTTGTGAGAGCTGAACTCAGGAACTCCTACCTTTTGGATTATGGGGTATTACTTTTAAAGATTTTCCTCTGAGTAGAAAAAAACCACTTCCTAGCTCAAGAAACTGGAGAGAAAAGCTTGCTCTGACAAATCTTAAAGATTTTTTAAAACCTCTCTGACCGTGACCAAAAAAGCACTGTGAAGTGTTTTCTGGTATGTTCTAGAGCCAACCCCGAACATTTCCCCCCTTAATTAGATCTTTTTTACAATTACACAAATAATCGCCCTGACACTTCTTTTCTCTTTGCCAAGAAGTAAATGATGTCATGGAACCCAAAGGCCATAAATTTGTTTTCATTTCATATGAAAAAAGGAGAGAATAAAATAATTTCTCCTAAGATATTTAAATATTAACATTCAATATTAAATTTTAATCATAGTTTGTAGTTGGAAAAGAAAATATTTAGACAAAAAAAAAACCCTTTTCGTGAGGAAGTTACATTGTGCCTTCAATGATGATTCTTGATGTAAAGTTGTTCTGAGTCCTAGAGATGGTTGAAACAAAATGCAAGAATAGCCAGGAAAGAGTTACCAGGTTATTCACACACAAAATCAAATAGATCGTTGAGTGACTTTTGCAACTTAACCAAGGCTTTCAATCATTTTTGGCAAGAGAGACTCACTTCTTTCTCCTCTGTCTTCTGGTTCCTGATCCTATATTACATGGTATTATTTCATTGAGTCCTAATACCACACACATACACACACACACACACACACACACATAATTTGGGTAATACTCTCAAGTCCCCATTCCTTTTTGAACATAGACTTGGCTAGAAAGAAATTGTAGCAGATCAGTGTTGATGAATACATTGTGGTCAAATTAGTAGCAATTTTCTAGAAACCTCCTTCTGTATGGAAAGGAAAGAAAGTGGTAAAGAAGCAGGGGACTTACCTATTCTCTTTCTGTAGCTGACCGCAGGGCATTCTCTCCTGCAATTGGTGCATTTCTTCCAATTAAATCAAAGTCCTTCAGAAACTGGGTAGTGAGAGTTTAAAGAGTGTTGGATTGGAAGTTAATCCTGTGCCTTTCTTGTTTCTGTCACTTCCTACAACTATTTGGCGTAGATCATGGTTCCTCATCTAAAAATTACCTCGCGATACCGCTAAAATTCTTAAAAATTTCAGATGCTGCAAAAGTCCTGGGTTTGGTTTTCTTTTGTACGAGAAAATATTGTGAACCAGCATGAGGAGCACAGACATTATTTCTGTGCTCATGCTATTCAGTTCGAACTCACAAATAGTACTGAAACAATGAAGTCATAGTGGAGAAAAAGCTGAAGGCAGAGACCCTGACAGTCTTGTTTTAAAGTAGTGCTTGGAGCATGCCGTTCCTGGGACAAAGTAGGTACTCAGTAAACATTTGTTAACTTGCCGATCAGTGAATCAGTAGATGGAAGAGGAGAGAGAGTTCGAGAACTATGTCACTGGAATTAACACAATCCCAGTGCCTCTGGGGGCCTGGTGTACCCTGAAGCTGCTTTGGGCATCAGCCTCCCATTCCCCTTAAAAGTGCTCATCCCCACCTTCTCCACCTTTATTTTATCCATGAGGTGACTTAGGTCCCTAATCTTTGTGGCAAAGGAAAGCAAGTGTCTCAGAGATTATAGGACATTTTTAACAGACTGAGCCACCCAGGCATCCCTTATAGGACATTTTTAAAGGAACATGAATGTATTACAAAGCCACCAGAAACAACAAAAAAATATGTTTTAAATGCTATTGGCTGTTCTGGGAAATGAAATTTATTTGCAACATCAGAATCTTAGTGGAATTTCATAAAGAAATGTGTGGGTGTTCTCCCCCCACCCTTTTAAATGAAATTAAGAGAAACTCTTTGAGCTCTGCATCACTGTTGGTCACTGTAATTCCCAGGCAGGAGGAAGGGGGTGACATTTTCCGTTGTGTGTGCTACCATGATTTACCCGACGTCTTCCAAAATTCTTGTATTTGAATGGTCTTGCTGTCCCAAATGTATTTGAGAAGAACACAACTACACAATTTTATAGTTAGTTTAGCATTGCACGCAGAGTGCAGTCAGATAGGCTATAAAAACATGGTCTACAGATATCAGAATTTGTTCTGTAAAAACTTCAGTGATTAGTTAACAGTAAACTATTTTTTTTTCATTTCCTGAGGTCTGTGAAATGAAAAATATAGGTAAAATGTGGGACACATTATAGTGACCTTCATTTTTAGTGAGAGGATTTTACTAATGTTGGATTACTATAGAATTTAAGAAAGTTTATCAAGTTATAAAAAATCTTCATTCTCGTAGCTAACTTTTCTGTACCTTTTTTTTTCTCAAATGACCCAACATGTCTCCATTGCAACAAAGCTGTTTTTAAGTATATATATATTTTTTCCTGTTGGCAATACGCTAATTTTAATAAAACACCACAAACTCCAGGAAAGTGTAGGTTCCATTATGTATTTCTTCTTTTTCGAGGTTTCTTTTTTTTCTTTTATCAACATTACACATCCCACTCCAAAAGAGAAAACTGTGATTACAATTGGAAGCCACACACACAAGGTTTTTATTAGAATTACAGTTTTTGGTTTTACAGGATTTAATACGAACGCGAACAGTGTTTGAAGACCTTGAAATTTAAATCTGCTGCCTGCACCCCTCCTTGCTCAACTCTGCAGCTCCCTGGGGAGGGCGTGGGAGGGGCTGGGGGGCTCTCATTCTTCTCTTTCAGTTACATTTTTATATACTTCAGTCACAGGGTTTCACGTTGTAACATCATGTTTATTCATGGGGTAGCTTAGTATCCTTGATGTTCAAATGGAGTCTAGTTAAAATGAGATTAGGTATTTTGGATAGGTGGAAAAACATGAGAAACGCTTTGTGATAACTTGGATTTTTTTTTTCCTAGAAATTTAGAAAGAAAAATCCTGCTGTTACTCTGTGTCATAGGAATGATTTTCAGTGTTAAACAGAGAACTTTCCAAGGTTTTCCGAAGGGGGTTGTGAGGAGTGGGGGGAGGGGGCGTTGGTAGTG